TGCCACGGTGGATGTCGGGGGCTTCTTCGCAGAGCTCGGGCTGCAGCTGAAGCATGGTGCGTCCCTACAGATCTTGGACAGCGCTGCGGGCCGCGACGCTGGTGGCTTCTACACTAATGGGGATCTGTGGCTCCAGGACGGCAAGGCTCTTGACAGCTTTGATTGAGACTACTGCCGTAGCACTTGCGACATCTTGGTTTCTCATGTTTTCTTCATGCCTTGGGCGTACTAGTACGGATTTCACTATGGCCGACTGAGGTTCTTTGAGCGTCTCATCTCGGAGTAGGCAACTGCTCATGCGGCCAAAGTAAGATGTTCAGTGGTTGGTCGCTGGCTACATGTATGCGAAGGTGAGATACAGCTTGTTGCGAAGCCAGTAGCTTGCCAAACTTGAAACACTTTTTTGACTAGTGATGTGTAGAGCGACAGTTGGTATGAAAGGAGTTTCGATATCACCCCAAGCACTTTCAGACTCTTGAATGTCTTGCTGGTTTAAACCATGTTCCCTCAGCCAAGTTTCAAGGAGTCACACCTTGTCCTCAGTGACCCCAGCCTGAAAATACTTCGCTTGTTGCGGAATTTCCCTCCGATGCTGCAATGGCACTCTGGCGGGTCTTGACGGGCCGTTGTCCGTCCGTGCTCTACGCAAACTGCGCCTGAACCTCACATGGCATGCGCCCCTCTGCCCAGTCCATGTTGGTCTACGTACTGCAATTGCTCCGCCATTCTGGTTGCACGTTTACTGCGTACTCTCCCCCCCCCGCCACAGCTATGCAGTTGGCAGGGTTGCCAGTAGCCATTGGGTGGAGTCCGTGCACGCACTTCATCAGTGTCAGGAGCTCTTGATCATGAGGCCAGACAAGTCTGATGATGCAGGTCATAAGGTCATGCAGCCCACACGGACAATTTTATGTCATGGCTGGTTTGTCTTTTGTTGGCAGGTTTGTCCGATCAATTCAGTTGTCCTGAAGTAGTGCCATGTCGAGTTACCCCTTCAATACGGCCACCGCACATCGCCGGACATCACCAGACATCACCGTACATCAGTGCTCCGAGTCTC